TATTACAGCAGCGAAGGTAACTTTTTTCTTTAAAATTCTAGTAGTTTGGATCAGAACTATTATAGCGAAATTAATTTCTTTAAAATATTAGTAGAGTGGACCAGATCTATTACAGAGAAGGTAACTTCTTTTTTTTTAAAGAAAATTCTAGTAGGTTGGACCAGATCTATTATGATAGTGATTTTTTGAAATTCTAGCAGAACTATAATTATGAAGATGTTTTTTTTTTAAATTCTAGTCAGTTGGGCCAGAACACTTTCGACAAAGGTACCTTTTTTAAAAAAAATTATAGTAGGTTGGGCCGGATCTATTACAGCAGTGAAGGTAACTTTTTTCTTTAAAATTCTAGTAGTTTGGATCAGAACTATTATAGCAAAATTAATTTTTTTAAAATATTAGTAGGGTGGACCAGATCTATTACAGAGAAGGTAACTTCTTTTTTTTAAGAAAATTCTAGTAGGTTGGACCGGATCTATTACAATGGTGATTTTTTGAAATTCTAGCAGAACTATAATTATAAAGATATTTTTTTTTTTAATTCTAGTCAGTTGGCCAGAACTCTTTCGACAAAGGTATCTTTTTAAAAAAAATTATAGTAGGTTGGGCCGGATCTATATTACAACATCAGCAAAGATAACTTTTTTTTTAAAATTCTAGTAGTTTGGGTTAGAACTATTATAGCAAAATTAATTTTTTTTAAAATATTAGTAGGGTGAACCAGATCTATTACAGCAGCAAAGGTAACTTTTTTTTAAAAAAAATTCTAGTAGTTTGGGTCAGAACTATTATAGCGAAATTAATTTCTTTAAAATATTAGTAGGGTGGACCAGATCTATTACAGCGAAGGTAACTTTTTTTTAAAAAAAAATTCTAGTAGGTTGGACTGAATCTATTACGATAGTGATTTTTTGAAATTCTAGCAGAACTATAATTATGAAGATGTTTTTTTTTTTAATTCTAGTCAAGTTGGGCTAGAACTCTTTCGACAAAGGTACCTTTTTAAAAAAAATTATAGTAGGTTGAGCCAGATCTATTAATAGCAGTGAAGGTAATTTTTTTAAAAAAAATTCTAGTAGTTTGAGTCAGAACTATTATAGCGAAATTAATTTCTTTTAAATATTAGTAGGGTAGACCAGATCTATTACAGCAGCGAAGGTAGCTTTTTTTTAAAAAAAAATTCTAGTAGGTTGGACCGAATCTATTACAATGGTGATTTTTTGAAATTCTAGCAGAACTATAATTATGAAGATGTTTTTTTTTTTAATTCTAGTCAAGTTGGGCCAAAACTCTTTTGACAAAGGTACCTTTTTAAAAAAAATTATAGTAGGTTGGGCCAGATCTATTAATAGCAGCGAAGGTAACTTTTTTTAAAAAAATTCTAGTAGTTTGGGTCAGAACTATTATAGCAAAATTAATTTCTTTTAAATATTAGTAGGGTAGACCAGATCTATTACAGCAAAGATAACTTTTTTTAAAGAAAATTCTAGTAGGTTGGACCGGATCTATTATGATAGTGATTTTTTGAAATTCTAGCAGAACTATAATTATGAAGATGTTTTTTTTTTTAATTTTAGTCAAGTTGGGCCAGAACTCTTTCGACAAAGATACCTTTTTAAAAAAAATTATAGTAGGTTGGGCCAGATCTATTATTATGATGATGGAGATTTTTTTAAAAATACTAATCAGGTGGGCCAGAACTATAAAGATGAAGGTGTTTTTTTTTAAAAAAAAAATTCTAGTTGGTTGGGCTAGAACTATTATAGCAAGTGATTTTTTAAAAATTCTAGTTGGGCCAGATCTATTTTTTTTATAATTCTAGTTAGATGATTTTTTTAAAACAAAAAATTTAGTAAGCTAGGTCAGAACTCATAATATATAGTCTTTGAAAAAAAGCCATCTAGCATTCAATGATCATTGCAGACTCTTCACATATATAAGTCTCTTGAATTTGTTTCTGAGTGATATAATAAAGATTTTTGATTTATTATCTTTGGATTAATTTTGATAATTTATGTTTTTAATATATTTCGACCAAAAATAGTTACTTTTTTTAATACATCTGCATATAACACATTTCGTATATATACTAGAGATAGAAAACGGAAGGTTTAAAAACATGTTTGATTTAAAACTGTTTTTAAATACATTCTGATATAATCATAATACGTAACAATGAAATAGAATAGTATTTATTTAACTAATTTCGTTAAAATACAGTTTTATTATTATCTCTTTTCAAAATATAAATCATGCTCTGTGGATTAAAAGAAATTTGCTTAAACTTTACAAAAGTTACCCCTGCCAAAAGTGTAACTACTGTAGATTTAGTTGCTTGATTAAAAGATCATTAATATAGATGCAAAAAGCTTCCTGGATGTTGACAAGGGTCAACAGATCGAAAAGACAAATAGTATTAGGCAGGGGTCAGTCAACATATGTGTGGCCACTTACCCGCATCATAGATCAGTCGATAAACAAAATCAGTGTCAGATCATGATTCACTCGGCCCAGTTACACGCATCAGGGATCAATCGGTGAATGAAGTCATTGACTGATCGAAAGTTCATGCAAAATCGAAAAGCCACCAAAACATCAAATATAAAAAGGTCATTGAGAAAGCCATTCCATACACTCTTTCTCACAAGAACCCAATTCATTTAACTTGCACTTTCTCGACCTAGCCCTGCTCACTACACACAGTAGAACAGTCTCCTGATTCTGCCATTTTCCTATTTAACAGCCGGCCTGCTTCAAGCAGGCGAGAAACCACCAGCTGATACTGCTTTTCACTCACTCTACTGCTATGATGATACCTGGTGCAATCTCACTTGCTAATCTTCCAGAAGCATATTATTATTTCAGTTCAAATTACTTAAAATTACCAATTCAATATATTCTGTGGACTTAAAGTCCTTTAATTTAATTCATTTACAGCACCTTTGGCTGTTCAGAATTATTCCAAACACATGACCAAGCACACCTATGCTTTTTAAAAAAGTATAAAAAATTTATTAAATAAATAATGAATGGGTAAAAAAACTTGTAGTCTATCAGAATTTAAGGAATTGAGATTAATAGTTGGTTCGAAGATGACAATAATTAAATTTATAGTTATGCATTAAATTAAAAAGAGCATACAAAAAAAAAATTATATATATTTATATATAAATAGTTAGGCAATTGCATGTTTTTTTATAATTATATAGTAACAAAAGTTTATAAATTGAATATTTTTTCTTTAAAAGTTATCTCTATAAAATTTGGTGAATCAGCATTTAGTACTAAAATTTAAATTTTAGTCTCAGCACCAATGTTTTAAAAAGTTTTTAAAAAACTGTTTAAAACGTTCCCTAGTACCCTAGTATATACATCTTTTTTTCCCGATAGTAACACCAACTTAACATTTATTTTTACAAAGTATTTCAATAAAACATTTTTACAATCAGAATCGATTTCATTAAATGAATTTAATACTTTTAAAGTGTAAGTTTTATAGAGAACTTCTCAAGTATTTCGTCAACAAATAAAGATTCAAGATTTTTACATATTCTTAAAACATTTTAGTCAAAGCTCATTTGATTATATAAGCTGGACTAAAGGAATACACAAATCTATCGAGTTCTTTATAATTATAGAACCATTAACCAATTGGGCAAAAAAGTATAATATAAAGAAGTGGGATCAATAGAAAAGTTTATATTACTGTATTAAATGGCATTTAAATAGTAAAAGGTAGATTTTTATATGACTTAGAATTCTTTTGTATCTACATTCTTCTAGTGGTTTACTTCAAAATATTGTATTGCAGTTCTATACCATCAAAGATTAGAATAAGCTTCTATTATTGGCATAATGATTTTGAATATTTAGAAATACAGTGATCTTTTTTTTTTTGAACTAGCTTGGTATTGTCATGCTAAGCTTAACTCTGATAGTTGATGTTAGAAAGGTCACATAAATGGGGCAATAAATAAATTATAGTATTTGGATATTCATGATTTATTAGGCATTTATTATAAAAAAGAGAGTGTGAATATATATATAACCTTTATTTATAGAGAAATTTTGGGAATTTTGGAAGAGTAAATGTTCTTCAACTAAAGATGAAGGCACACTCTTATATACATTTTGATTTTACAGATTGTCATTATGGTTTATGCTGTAGATTCCACATTTGACAAAGGCACAATAATCACAAGTTTATACAATCGCATATATGCTCTAATTGGAACGTAATGCTTTTGCATAAATTAGGCTACCAAAAATACATAATAATGCTTAATATAAAATTAACATGCTATGATAGTACAATTATAGAAGGTAAGTGACAACTTAAAAAATTAGACAAATACGGAAGTGATGAGACAGAGAAAATTTAATTGTTATAGTGGCTTTGCCGACAAGTTTGAATATTTGAATATTTAAATTTTTTATTTTTTATTATATAATTGTAAAATATAAATTACAAATAAATAAAATATATGTAACATATTATTTATTTATTGTGGTTTGCATAATTTTGTGACTTTATGATTAATTTTTTTAATTAAATGATTGTAATTGCAATCGTGATTGCTAAAGTCTACATTGTTTACATAATATCAAAATTACATGAAATTTTGGTTTTGAAAACTTGTAATTTTACAACTCTACCTTTAATAGTTCTGGCCAACTTATAAGAATCTTAAAAAAATCACTTTGATATAATGCGTAGTAGTTCTGGCCCAATCCAACCTACTAGAATTTTTATAACAAAGTTATCTTCTATAATAGTTCTGGCCTAATTTATAAAAATTTTAAAAAAATCACATTAATATAATAGTTCTAACTCAACCTACTAGAAATTTTTTTAAAAGATTTACCTTTGCTATACCAAACTAATAGAATTTTTTAAGAAAAGCTATCCACTATCGTAGTTCTGGTCTAACTTATAATAATTTAAATAAAGTTACTTTCACTATCATAGTTCTGGCCCAACTTACAGAATTTTTTAAAAAAAATTATTTTTGCTTTAATAGATTTGGCTCAACTACCTAGAATTTTAAAAAAAGTTATCTTCATGTAATAGACCTGGTCCAACTTGCCAAAATTTTAATAAAGTTACCTTCATTGAAAGAGTTTTGGCCCAAAATACTAGAATTTTTTAAAAAAAGTTACCATCGCTATATGTAATAAATCCAGACCAACCTATTAGAATTTTAAAAAAGTTACCTTCAGTATAATGAATCTGACCAAACTTGTAAAAAATTTTTTAAAAAAAACACATTTGCTATTATGGTTCTAGCCCAACTTACTAGAATTTTCAACACAGTTACCTCATTATAATAGTTCTGGCCTAGCTTACAATAATTTAAAAAGAAATAACTTTTGTAATCATAGTTCTAACCAACCTACTAGAATTTTAAAAAGCTACCTTCATTGAAAGAGTTCTGGCCCAGAACATAAAGAAGTTACTTTTGCTGAAATAGATCTGGTCCAACCTACTAGAATTTTAAAATCAACATCTTTGCTGTGACAGATTTGGCCAAACTGCCTAGAATCTTAAAAAAAAAGAAAAAATCTTCGCCGTCACAGTTCTGGCCCAACTTACTAGAATTTTAAAAAAATATCTTTACTACAATAAGAATTTAATAAAAAAAAATTGACTTCACTATATAGTTCTAACCCAATTTACAGAATTTTTAAAAAAAGTATCTTCGCTATAATAGATTTGGCTCAACGATCTAGAATTTTAAAAAAGTTACCTCTTATAATAGACCTGGTCCAACTTGCCAAAATTTTAATAAAGTTACCTTCGTTGAAAGAGTTCTGGCTTAACATACTAGAATTTTTTGAAAATGTTACCTTTGCTATACGTAATAGATCCAGACCAACCTATTAGAATTTTAAAAAAGTTATCTTCAGTATAATGGATTTGACCAAACTTGTAAAATTTTTTTTTTAAAAAAAGCACCTTTGCTATTATAGTTCTGGCCTAACCTACTAGAATTTTTAATACAGCTACCTCATTATAATAGTTCTAGCCCAGCTTACGATAATTCAAAAAGAAATAACCTTCGTAGTTGTAGTTCTGACCCAACCTACTAGAATTTTAAAAAAGCTACCTTCATTGAAAGAGTTCTGGCTTAGAACTTAAAGAAGTTACTTTTGCTGAAATAGATCTGGTCCAACCTACTAGAATTTAAAAATCAACACCTTCACTGTGGCCAAACTGCCTAAAATCTCCAAAAAGAAAAAACCTTCGCTTTAATATTTCTGGTCCAACTGACTAGAATTTAAAAAAAGTGTTACCTTTGCTGTAGTAGATCGTTCAACCTATAGAATTTTAAAATTGTTGTAATAGAAGATCTACTTTTGTTAAAAAAAAAAACTTCAAGCTGTAGATCACTGCCAAATAATAAAATTAATGATTTTAGTATAGTAAAATACTAGACATATGATTTCTATAGCTAATATACGTTATTTTGCTATTTGTGTTTGGTTAACAAGAAAGATCAATCTTTTTGTCACTAAAAAATGTATCGGTATTTAAAGCTTATTATTATCAAATCGGCAAATAATCCAATTTGGATTTGAAATTTTAACTTGTCGGGATCCTGTTTTGTCGGGATTTTGTTTTAATTTAGTAGATTGTCGAGATTTTGAACCATCGAGATTGTGTCATTGTCGGGATTTTGACTTGTCGAGATTTTGGCTATCAAAATTTTGTCTATGTTGGGATTTAGCCTGTCGGGATTCTAGACTGTCAGGATTTTGGATATCAGGATTTTTGGGTAGAACAGCTTAAAATACGGGTCCTCAGATAGCAGCAGCACCTGGCTTGAGATACGAATTAGGATGGGCGATCTATAAATCAAACTGTGTCATGTGGAACAAGGACTGATGTTGACTGATTGGAGAACTTTTTATAATAATTCTGTAGGGCTAACTCTACCCCAAAGATATTTATATATAATACGTACTAAATCTAGAGTAGAGCTAAATTTAAAGAGTATTATATAATTTTTCAGCTATAATATAGCTATATCATTCTGTTAGAGTTTTTTTTTCTCTCTTTTGTTTTTTCTTTTTCAAAATATGTGTTCCTTTTTACTTTTTTAGTGTTTTTTAGGTTTTTGTTGATTGCTTTCATTCTGTTTACTTTTAAAACTTCCCCCTTTTATTTCGTGCCTCTTGAGAAGAAGGAAGAATTAAAAGAGAAAGAAAAAATCCTGACATGGTATACAACAACCTGTCATAACTCTTGGGGGTAACCTTGTCATTATGAAATTCAAAGAAAGTTTTGAATCTTGGGAGTGACTAATAGTTGTTATAGCTGGTCGCATTGGGCTTAGGCTTGGTGAGCTTTTATTAGTCTTGAATATTAATCTTTTTGATGTATCACAGCATCATATAGCATTTCATTTAAATAAATAAAAGCAGAATCGCTTAAAAAAAAAAAAAAAAATTCAATTATTGCAGTTTGCAAAAATATATAAAATTTGATGATCAAAAAAAAAAGAAATCAATGATTTCTGATTCAAATTTCTGACTTTTTTAATATTTTTTTAGGCTTTTAGATTAGATTTCAAGATTAGGCTTTAATATACACAATTTTAATAACTATATTAAATTTGAGTTTATTATACATATTTTATAAAACTTATGTATATTAAAGTTTAATATAAAAGTCTAAAAAAATATTAAAAAAATCGAGAAATCAGAATCAGAAATCATCTATTTCTTTTTTTTTGATTAATTTCACATATTTTTGTAAACCACAAGAATTATCGATTTATATGATTAAATTAATAATATAAAAATTACCTGTTATCAATTTGTTCGCTCTAATATTTAAATTAGTTTTTAGGTAAACATAATACAAATATATTAAATAATTTAACTCAAAATAGAATTTTATACCTTCTTAGCACTTTGTATATCTCTTTCAATTTCGAAACCATTTCGATAGTATTGACCTATAGCTAACATTTCCAATTTATTAGATTTTTGATAATAATCAATACCTTATGTTCATCCTTTTTCATACCAATTCCATTATAACAACAATAACCAATATTAAATGTCCCTTTAGCACAATCATCTTATATTCATCCTTTTTAACTCCAATTCCATTATGATAATATCCAAAAGCACCACCCATATCAACAGATTTTTAACAATAAATAGATGCTTTATGATCATCCTATTCAACTCCAATTCCATTTCAATAACAATAACCAGCATCATTTGTTCCCCAAGCATCACCTATACTAGCAGATTTTTGATAATAATTTAATGCCTTTTGTTGTATAATTGAAAGATATATATATAGCATATATCAATGCTATTAATGTATAATTGACAGAGATATATAGTATATATCAGTACATTTTATGTATAATTGGTATTAGCCTGTGGTTTCTCGCCTGGTTAGCTGTTAGCCAGAAGCTTTGTAGTCACACCGGTGGTTTCTCGCCTGCATAATGCAGGCCGGGCATAAAGAGACGTTTAAGCTGCCACAATATAATAGAAATAGAAACAAATGATCTCTTTGTAGAACAAGATAATTGAAATAGTTGAAATAGTAAAAAGTAATTATTACACAAAGACAAGTGCAAAGTTATAAAAATAACATTTTATAAATGTAAAGTTTAACTAAACAAAGTTATCTGTTATAATTATACATATGCAAGTCAACGTACATATATAAATTGGTAAGGCTAAATCAGGATACTATCTATTTAGGGCCCAATCAAAGGCCAGTATTTGTACACACTATTTCACTCTTTGGATAACCATACACTTCATTGCATTCCATTACTGGTACTGTAATAGCTATAATTTATTTAATTAAAGCTAATTTGAATATGACTATAAAGTGAGTTTTGGTCAAAATTTTGATAAATAGAAACCTGATAGAGTTAAAATCCTGACAAAGTTAGTCAAAATTAGTTTAATGTTCGCTTTTATGAATTTGATACTGTTGGGATTCATATTTTGAGATTTTGTTCAAAACTTCTATAAAGTACAGAGGTTCATAGCTCTTAGATTTTCATTATGTTTTATAATGCTCTTACTTTGTTTGGCATTTTTTTAAGTCTAATATTATTGTATATTTCAGAGTAGTGTTTCTACTAATCTTTTTACTTAACCCTGTTTCAAGTTTAGTTTTATGCTTTTATGTCGACCTCGTTTCGCTTGACTAGGTTTAAACTCTGTATTTTTTTTTTAGAAACGTTTATTGATCACATGCAAGTTCAAGTTTTAATCAAGATTGACATTCAGGTGGATACAATCTACAATCCAGGTCATATATTTGGTCTTTAATTAAAATTATTGAAAAGCACCATGTGCATGCTTTTATATTGGAATAATCCAATCTGATATACTGGATTTTAATTTTATTTGATGAATGCAGATTATATTAGTTATAAATTATGTATTATTGAAACTGAAATAGGATATGCTCCCAGAAATAGTAAATAATATTGCACTGTGAGCAGTTTGTGCAGTGTTATATTCAAAAATCTTTTTAATATCTAACATCATTATCGTTATTTTACTTTGGTATAGTTTGTGGCATAATTGGGTAATTTTAACTCTCAGTGGGATCAAAACTTCAAAACGGAATTGAAACTCTCAGCGAGTATTAAACCATACGAATTAAAGATATATAATGGTGTAGTTTCAGTTTATGAGGGGAAGAATGATTGGATGTTGACAATATTAGTATTATTGTAATTATCTGATGTATTGATTTATGTTAATAAAAAGAAACGTAATTATGTATGTTAGTTTATCAATTTGAACCCTTTGACCTTAATCACTATTTGTTTACGATCGAAGCTAAATCAGTTTAAGACTCTATAAAGCTCTTCCCAAATCGTAACAGTGGCCAGTGGCTTCTCTCCTGCATAACGTAGACCGGCTCTTAATATGAAGATATGGTATTGATATTCAGTAGTTTTAATTATGACAATCACAAATTATAATTTATGTTTAACTAAAGCTGAAATGGATATGCTCCAAGAAATGCAAATAATTTTGTGCTGAGTTTGTGCAACTTAGCACTGGCCGATGGTTTCTCGCCTGCATAACGAACATATTTTGTACAGAATTTTTTACAATAATTCATAATAGAAATTGAAACTTCAATATAAACTAACTCGACTATAATTATATATTGTATTATTAGAATAGTGAATAGGTTTTTAAAAGAATTTTTTACAGTAACTTAATAGATGGAATAATCTAATTCAATTTAATAGCTATCAACAGTAACTGCAATAAAGTTTAAGATGAGTTAAATTGTATTTAAATTAATGCGATTTGTTTATTAGCAACTACTGAAAAAATTCTGTTATAGGATTTATTCGCTATTCTAAATAATTTGCATTAGAATTATCATGATTCTATAGTGAGCCACTGCAACAAAATTTGGTTACAAACTTACCCACTATTCTGGTGACATAATATGCGATTAAATTTGAGTTGGTTTGTATTGAAATGTTATAATTTGTTATCGTGATTTTGTAAATTATTGTTGATGAAAAAGCTAATTAAAAAGCCTAGAACCTTCACAAAAATATAATCCAATTCACATTAATTAAATATTTATATTAGTCGAATATTTACTTTATTCATATTAATTTTATTTACATTAATTAAATATTCATTTCTAAATTAATTTATAAAGATTCTAATTCGTTAAATTAGTGAATATATATTCTGATATAACTTATTAATTTTGCTTTATTATGCTAATTAAATAGATAAAATATTTAAGTACTATATTAAGTCTAGAAATAGGTAAAATGTGCATAATTCAGGATCATGCACATTAATACACAATTCAGAATCTCTAATTAAGATATTCATATTTATTTTATTCATTATTAATTTCATATTAGTTTGGAGTACAGCAAGTAAAAAATAAATGTTTATAAACAGAGATATTTGAAGCTAATTATTCAAGTTTGTAAATATTTACTATCAATTAATCTTTCTTAATTAATTTAGAAATATATTTCAGAACTATCTAAATTATTGTAAATAATACAAAATTGTATGCTTATTAAAATAGATGGCAAAGTCACCTGCATTCGTAATCTCTAGTTAACTATACTCTTTAGAAGCCTCTTACAATGCAATTTTCCATTCCATTTTTGTAATTCCTATTAATTCAAGTTGTTGATCAGTTAATTTGTATATCTGATTAACTTGAATAGCATAATCTTAAAAATTTGATAAACATGCTAAAATTTTACTATTAGCATTCTCAGCTTTATCTACTTTTGCTAAAAATTCTTTAAGTTTAGGTATAGGTTTTAAAGAAGTTGTTAATAATTCATGTGATATTGAATTATTCATTGAAGTATATAAAGATTGTAAATTAGAAAAAATTAGAAATGGTATAAAAGCAGGTTGTAAGAGATATTAGGTAGTAATTGAGAAGATATTGTATATAAAGAGATATTGGGTGATATTTGTAAAGGAATATTTGGTGACATTTGTAAAGAAATATTAGATGATGTTTGTAAAGGAATATTTGATAAATGCAAAAAAAAAGTATTTAATGGTTGTGATGAAAAATTATTTAATACTTGTGGTAAAAAATTGGTTGGTAGCTGTGATAGTATTTGTGAAAGTATTTGCGATGATATTTGTAAAGATCTTTGTAAAGAAACTTGTGAAGATACTTGCAAAGGTGTTTGTAACAATATTTGTAAAGACATTTGTAAAGATATTTGTTGTGGAAGTGGTTGTAATAATAATTGTAATGGTGAACAATTTGATAGTGATTGATTTGAATTAAATATTCCTCTTGTTGTAGGTGGGAAAGTAAATATTGCATGACTTGGTGGCATGCTGATATCTGTTATTCTATTCATCTATTTATAATAAGATAATTTATAATTTTAATTGGTGATCCACCAGTCAACCAGAAAATAATCATAGTAAAATGTGACTCAAATTACTTATAAAAATTGGGAGTCTCTAAATGTGGTGTGCGTGTATTTAAAACTTTTTTATACTAAGTTAATCACTTTTCTAACTTAAGAGACTTTTGTAGAGCTTGTCAAAATGCATCTAATGGTGGGTAGAGCGTCAAAATCGGCCTGGTGGGTGCCGAGATATCTTTAAAAAACGTTTTTTTTACTATATAAACTTCTTTACAAACAATAGTATTGTTTTCAAAGAAGTTTAAATAGTAAAAGAAACGTTTTTTAAAGATATCTCGGCACCCACCAAGCCGATTTTGACGCTTTACCGTCATTAGATGCGTCTTGACAAGCTCTACAAAAGTCTCTTAAGTTAGAAAAGTGATTAACTTAGTATAAAAAAAAGTTT